GGAGGCTTGTTCCGCTTGTCGTTGGTTGATACTTTACCTCTTGCAGTGAATAATGTCGTTAATAACGTTAATGTTGAGATGAATGTTTGGCATTCTCGATTATGTCATGTTAATTTTGGTTGCATGTCCCACTTAGCTGGTTTGAATTTAATTCCTAAATTTGACGTTGCCAAAAGTTCCAAATGCCATACATGCGTTGAGGCAAAACAACCTCGCAAGCCTCACAAGGCAGTTGAGGCGAGAGAGTTGGCACCACTTGAACTCATCCATTCCGATATTTGTGAAATGAACGGAATTTTGACAAAAGGTGGTAAGAGATACTTCATAACGTTCATAGATGATTGCACTCGATATTGCTATGTGTACCTAATTAAAACAAAAGATGAGGCATTACATTATTTTAAAACCTTTAAAGCTGAGGTTGAGAATCAACTTGAAAAGAAAATCAAGCAGTTTTGGTCTCGATCGCGGGGAGAATATTTCTCTAATGAATTTTACGAGTTTTTCTTGTGGTGCGGTATAATCCATGAGAGGACACCTCCATACTCACCACAATCCAATGGGATTCTTTGAGAGAAAGAACCGCACTCTAACCGACTTGGTGAATGCCTTGTTGGAGGCAATTTGGTTTATCTAAGGAATGGTGGGGTGAGGCAATTTTAAGCTGCGAATCATGTCCTAAATAGAGTGCCCACAAAGAACAAAGAAATCACTCCATTTGAGGAATGGGAGAAAAGAGGTTAAATATTTCTTATCTTCGCGTTTGGGGTTGTTTGGCCAAAGTGAGCGTGCCAATAAACAAAAAGCGTAAAGCTTGGACCAAAAAGCGTAGATTGTGTTTTCCTCGGCTATGCCATTCATAGTGTGGGCTATCGGTTTTAATAATAAATTCTAGTGCTCTGATATGGCTGTTGGAGCGGTCATGGAGTCTAGAGATGCCATGTTCTTTGAGAATGAATTTCCAATGAAAATAGGTGCACCTAGCGTGTCTAGTCATGATTCTGTTCCTGAATTTCATGAATCGAATATACACGCTGATGATAACACCCATGAGCTTGAGCAAAATCCTGAGGAGGATGATAATATTGTCACTCGAAGGAGTAAGAGGCAAAGAGTTGCAAAATCCTTTGGAGAAGACTTTATTATATATCTCGTGGATGACACTCCCACAACCGTTTCTGAGGCATACTCTTCTCCTGATTCTGACATGTGGAAGGAGGCAGTGCAAAGTGAGATGGACTCCATTATGTCCAATGGGACGTGGGAAGTGGTTGACCGTCCATTTGGTTGCAAACCTGTGGGCTGCAAATGGGTGTTTAAAAAGAAGCTGAGGCCTGATGGTACAATTGAGAAGTACAAAGCTAGGCTTGTTGCTAAGGGTTATACACAGAAGGAAGGTGAAGATTACTTTGATACTTACTCACCTGTTGCTCGACTGACAACCATTCATGTGTTGCTATCCCTGGCTGCCTCACATGATCTTTTCATTCATCAGATGGATGTTAAGACAGCCTTCCTAAATGGAGAGCTTGAGGAAGAGATCTACATGGATCAGCCTGATGGGTTTATTGCAAATGGTCAGGAGGGTAAAGTTTGTAAGTTATTGAAGTCCCTGTACGGCCTAAAGCAAGCCCCCAAGCAGTGGCATGAGAAGTTTGATAAAACTTTAACATCAGCCGGCTTTGTTGTGAATGAAGCTGATAAATGTGTATATTATTGGTTTGGTGGTGGTGATGGTGTGATACTATGCCTATATGTGGATGATATATTAATATTTGGCAACAATCTAAATGTGATCAAAGAAGTAAAAGATTTTTTGTCGAGTAACTTTGAGATGAAAGACTTGGGTGAGGCTGATGTTATTCTCAACATTAAGCTTTCAAGGGAGGAAGGAAATGGTGGGATAACTCTTATGCAGTCTCACTATGTGGAAAAGGTCTTGAACCGATTTGGGTACAGTGAGTGTACGCCTGCTCCTACTCCGTACGATCCAAGCGTTCATTTGAGGAAGAATCACAGAATTGCAAGAGACCAATTGAGATATTCACAGATAATTGGTTCTCTCATGTACCTAGCTAGCGCAACCATGCCTGATATCTCGTTCGCTGTAAGCAAACTGGGCCGGTTTGTGTCAAATCCGGGAGATACTCACTGGAATGCTCTTGAGAGAGTGTTGCGCTATTTGAAAGGAACAATGAGTTACGGCATTCACTTTTCTGAGTATCCGAGGGTACCAGAGGGTTATTGTGATGCTAATTGGATTTCTGATGCGGATCAGTTGTATGCCACGAGTGGATACGTGTTCCTACTTGGAGGTGGTGCTGTTTCTTGGAAGTCTTGCAAGCAGACTATCTTAACAAAGTCTACAGTGGAAGAGAACTGACCGCATTGGATACCGCTAGTGCTGAGGCAGAGTGGCTCCGTGATCTCCTAATGGATTTGCCGATTGTTGAGAAACCAATCACGGCAATTTCCATGAACTGTGATAATCAAACTGTGATCACTAAGGTAAATAGTTCTAAGGATAATATGAAGTCCACAAAGCATGTGAAGAGACGTTTGAAGACTGTCAGAAAACTGAAAAACTCCGGAGTAATTGCATTGGACTATGTCCATACATCAAATAATCTGGCAGATCAATTCACTAAGGGTCTGTCACATAATGTGATAGAAGGTGCGTCGAGGGAACTAGGTTTGAGACCCACATAGAGCCATCAACAGTGGTAACATGTCCTATGTGATCGGAGATCCCGTGAATTAGGATGGCGAAACAAGCTGTTGATTGACTGAGGGAGAGACCCCTTAGATTATAGCTCAGTTCGTTGGAGATGCACCGTCTCTCCAATACTATTAGGCAGGATGATTAAGTTCTTAATGTGACCCGAGCGGCTTGGTATAGCGGGGATGTTGTTCTACAGAACATCCTATAAGGAACACACCTATATGAGCTCGATTGCTAGTCACAATCTATGAGATGTGGGTAATCTCTAGATGCTCATGAAAAGGCCTCGAAATGTGACTTATATGCTTCAAAACAGAGGGAAGGCACTTGGCAGCCTAGTATCAGTTAAGAGGTTATGTGAAACTCATCTCGCACAAAACTGTCAATTCAAGGTTCTATCCATTGTTCAGTTGTGGATGAGTGTAGCTAGCTTTCTAGATGGATGTTCAACTTAACAGTCTCCATCGAAACACTGGTATATAAAAGGAATGTGGTTCTGAGAACTCCAAACTGCGTACCCTAGAGTTTGGTGGGGATTGTTAGATATTATGAGCTTGGCCCATTTATTTAATATATCTATTAAACTCTATGGTCCGTACATATGCATTAATAGTTTTTATACCATATGGGAATTTAATCGAGAGGCGACTCTACTTAAATACTTGATCATTGACCGATCTATTTGAGAAGTAAAAGTGAATCACCTGGATGCCACCTGCTGCTATTGCCGCTGCCGCCATGCTGCCCTGCCCGGCTCGATCGCGTCTTGATCTTGCGGCGTGGCAATGTGGTGAAATGGCGGCGAAGCGAGCCAGACGGCAAGCGAGGCCTTTATTTTTGTCACTCGATTTCCTATGATGGAATTGATTGGAGGAGTTTCGTTAACTCTGTGGCGAATTGATTGGAGGAGTTTCATTAACTCCGTGACTTGCCTCGGCTCTCGTCTTCGTATCTTCCGCCGCAAGGGAGGTGTGACCCCTCGGTCTGCCGGCTTCTCCTCTTCGGCCTCCGCCTATAAGACAAATTCTCCCCTCTCGGTTAAGTGCTCTTGGCGAAGTACACCACTTTCCAAAGAAAGCGCAAGTTTTCCCGCTCCACCCCGTGAGCACCGAGAGATGGAAGAGTAGGCCTCGGGCGTGTCTCCGTCGTGGGCTTCACCTGCGCCGGGTGAAGACAGGCGATTACATTTTGGGGAGTGTCGGTGGTGGCACGACTACTGTTGGTGAACTCAGAAGCGGTGTGTCTTCACGGCGTCCTTTTTTCTACATTGCATCGAGTGGGGACGACTTCTGACAACAAAGCACCACCATGGCCTTTCACAGTGCGAGCGACTCCACCAGCAGGTATAATCTCCTTCACCCTCTTACGAGTTTCATTATCAATATCATGATGTTCCTAGGCAACATCTGCTTTCATATTCAGCATGCTCTGTTTGGTTGATTTGGATGATTATGCTAGTTTTTTCTGGTTCCTTTTAATTTTGTGATCATCATGATCTTGATATTTGAGAACACATCTTTTATATTTATGGTCATGTATGTGATGCTTCAGCTGTGTAAAACAATGTTTCACATATGTTTCGGTTCTATAATTTGCCTTATCATCATGTTAACACTTGTCATGAATTGTTTCTGTCACTAGTATAATGCGCGTGCTAACGCAACGGATTTATCTTGAAGACGCACATGAAAACAACTAATATTTTTTTTTCATAGTTCAACTTTTACACAATATCTTTGAGCATGTATACAATCCGGTAAACTAAGATAGTAAAGTTTTTTCTCATATAACATAGAATATAAGTGTTTAAAAAAAGTATAATATATATAAATAAAATATAAAGGAGTACACTGAACATATCTTACATTGCTGCAATCTTTAAATTTGTATTCCATGTCAGGCCAGCACTCGAGCACTTTTGTCGGTTTCTTGTGGTCTAGTTTGCCACAACATCGCGGATCTCGTCCAAACTGGGTTATGAACTGTTGATTTTGCAAAATTTATAAGTATTTGATTAATTATAGTATATTGCCCGTTCTAATGGTACAGTAATATTTAAAACAACACAAATTAAACAACCAAAATGATGTATATGCTTTTATGATTTTTGAAAAACCATCTCCTAAAAATAGGCAGTTCTGAGATGGCATTGCTCATTGCAGGATAAGTACAATCCATAGAAAAAGCTACTGCAAAATCTCTCCACAGTAATAAATGTGGACTGATTTGTCAGCCTATTTGGTTATTCCTTTACCACACTTACTCTTGGACTTTAAGGTTACCTTGTCCTGATTCCTTTTTTACTCTCCATGGTTTCTCCTTTCCTCAGGGCTAATGTTGATGGCTTCGGTCTCTCCTTTGCAGTTTTTACTATATTTTCACACTGTTCTGATGTCGCAAATTGTGGAAAGTACAAAGCACGAGGGTGCCAGCTCAAAATCTGCTCAAGAGTTCAGAATACATTATTAAAACAGCACAGGTGGATTTCAGGAACATAATGACAAATGGAAAAAAAAAAACCCAGCAATTTCTAGTGAAGCTGAGGTCGTGGTGTATTATGTAACAGAAGAAATACAATTAAAGATATTACTGAATTCTTACCCTGCAAACAAGTAGTGTCAGCCTGCCAGGATATAGGATGCACAGCCATAAGCTAAATGCCAGAAGTCAGATGCGTATCTCGTGTCACGGTGAGAAATCTAGGGTGTATAAATTGTTCGCACGATATCAAATCAACCCATTCTATACCTAAAAAGTATGCTCAATGTAGCCGATACTCTGCAGAATTGTTCGATGCATAAACACAATAAAATCTAAATGTGTTGCATCCATTCATTACAACAACTGTTCTTGAGTAATAGGAACCTACATTAGCTGCACGATGGCAGAAACAGAGATACAACTGTGATTGGTGAGGGTGCCACGAAAGTCCCACAACACCCACACCTCCTGCATTTTCCTCTTATGCAGGAAGCCTGCTAAATTTGAAATGCTTATCAATCTTCCCAACACGCAAGACCATGAGGCCACGAAAATTGCATGCACGCAACTGACCCCCAAACTCCGCCACAATCACATGCCGCTGCCCACAAGGTACAGTCAAAATTGGGGAAACATTACACTGACAAGTTAGTTTCACCCCAAAGTGGGTCGCTGCATGATATCATGCATTCACATCAAATACCCAAAAGATGAATTCTACCAACCGAGGAATATCGCCACCAAAGTCAGTTCATTCATGAGCTAGCTTAGAATTAATTCACGAACATACCTGCCCGCACCAATGCTCATCACGCCGAATGTGGGGCAATCGCCTAGCGGAGATGGAACCGGAACGAGACATCACCTGGTATGGGATTACGGACGGCGCAGCCTCGCCGGACTCGCCGTATGGCATCTCAGGCCACGCCGTCTCCAGCAGCCGCTCCCTCGGCACCGGCATGTCCGCCTCCTCCGGATCCTGCACCGCGCCACCCGCAGCACCGCAGCCAGCCCACCCAAATCAGGAGCGGCGCTACAGGGCAGCAACGAATCGGAACGTGCCGCGGGGCTCGCCGTCGCGTACCTGGGTGAAGAGCAGCGAGCCGAAGAAGCCGGCGAGGAAGAAGAGGGAGCAGGAGAGGAGCACCACGGGAAGCCGCAGTCGCGTTCGCATCAGACCCGCCGTGTGAAGTGGGGAGATCGGAGGTGGGAGATCCAAAGAATATCGCCGTCGGATGTGGTTGAGTAAGAAGAGAGAATGAGTGAGAGTTAATTTGGTGAGTATGTTTTTAATGTTATCTTTTTCTGTGTGTATTTTGTGGGGTGGACGTAGTTTAGGTCGTGGCTGTAGAGGCGGGATTCGTTTAGTGGCTGTAGGATAATTTGAAGTGGTGTATTATAGGGGTAGAGATAGAGATTTTATTCATGACGTCACTCTTATTTTTATTGCGTCATTTTTATGGATTAAAATAAATATAAAAATGTCTTATTCTTCAACAAGAATCGCATGCCTCATCTCCTGGGCTTGCCCAACAGACCCAACATTCCAGCAAGACGTTCTCCGGTCTCCACAGACACAAAGCGGTCTGCCTTCGTCTCTCTTCGTCTGAAGCGTGTTCCAGCAAAGAATCCGAAGACTAATCGAAATCGAAGGATAACAATCCTGAACTGTAATCGAAATGGATACTGATAGTGAGAAGGGGATTGGAGGGAATTCCCCTTGACATTGATGGTGAGAGGATTTTGTACTGTAACAGAAAATGATTTGAAGACCAAATACAGCTTAGGCTCTATTTGGAACGCGGGATTTTTTCCGTAGAAATGAACTGATTCTTGTAAAGTTACTGCATAATTTCTATGAAATTTCTGCGTTCAAGCATGCAATTGTGCTGTGATGCGTTGCAGGAACAAAGGACTGAGGGAGGACGAACAACACTGCGCTTCGATCTAGCCCTGCATGCGCTGCACCGATGCTGACGCCAAATTGAGCAGGTTGGCGGCTTCGGCGTCGGCCATGTCGAGGTCCCAGTCCTCCAGCTCGCGAGGTTTGTACATCCTGTGATGTCGTAGGCTGCCCGCTGGCCGCTGGGAGTGCTTTGTTCAGTTTCGTCGAGGGCAAGAGAGCCGGTGCAACCCTGCCACCTGAATACAGAACACGTGACGAGGCGAATGGACCAAAGGCGCAGCGAACGTTGATGGCGTTTTTTCAGAGCAACCGGGACACCACGGCCTTGGTGAGATTGTCAAAGATCCCGTGAACTCGACGGTTACTACTGTTCTTGCTTAGCAGAACATATCACAATGCAGACAAAAATTTAGGATGTTGCTATGGCGATTATTCGGCAAAACCTCATTGTCTAGAAATTGCCACGCACTCACTTCAGTATTTTCCGAGCCCAGCGATACAAGGAGGCAGCATGAGCGGATTCACGTTGCACACAAATGCTCACGGACCTTGTTCTTTGAGTACTCCCTCTCCCTTTATCTCATGCGTCCAAATGGAAAGCGATTTCCCTAACCTAGAGTTCTAGATGATGCGTAGTGGAGCTCCACTTTCCTACCTGCTTCCAATAAATCATTGTTCACAGGAAAGAAAATGCTGCAAATGCAGGTATCTACACTATTATGCCAAGCACTACCGGAGACTGTGTATTTACCGAGTGCCCCGACAATTACCGAGTGTCAAAAGTCGGGGCACTCGGAAAACATTACTTACCGAGTGCTAACACTCGGAAAACATAAACACCCGGTAATAAACCGCTTTACCGAGTCAGCACACTCGGTAACTTCAGACACTCGGTAAAACTACAAGTTTACCGAAGGGACGCACTCGGTAAAAACAGCCACTCGGTATTGAGGTGCCACGTCACCTAGTATAGCAACCGTGCCCCAAACGGCGTCACGGCATGACATGTTTACCGAGTGTAGAAGTATTTACACTCGGTAATAATAAAGTTTTACCGAGTGTAAGTGCACAACACTCGGTAAACACTATCTTTTACCGAGTGTATTGGCGCAACACTTGGTAAAATTCAACCAAATTTCTTGTTTTTTCCTTCATTCTTTTTCCTCTATCCACATATGATATTTAGTACTCCATTCCAAAATATGGTGTTTATTTTGATTTATTTACTATATTTCACAAAATTTTCATTCTTTATGAAAATTAGGTACATATCGTGTAAATTTAATTGTAATAATTAAAATCGAACTCGATAAATCACGAGATTGGAAGAATTAACATTGAAGCATACATCTATGTTATAGAAAAATTTTCATAACGTTTCGGAAGTATTTTTACATTCGTCGCTGCCGAACCGGTACATCTCCCAAAGAGACGCTAAACATTCACAATGACGAGTAAGATTTCTATTAAGAGTGAAATTCAACATTATGATTTGAACTTGGAATTTTTTAGATAGTAAATAGATGACATGAAATAGTTCATGTGAAAGTTTGGTGAATTTTAGGATTAAATTGACATTTTTTCTTTTTTGTTTTGCATGAAATAATGGATACTTTTACCGAGTGTGATCTCAAACACTCGTTAAAGGTTAGCCACGGCCCACCTGTCTGCCACAGTGGGCTGCCATGCTTCTGTTTATCGAGTGCCGTAGATCTGGGCACTCGGTAAACATGTACCAGGTCCACATGTCATTGGGCTGCGGTGCTTCTGTTTACCGAGTGCCGTAGATCTGGGCACTCGGTAAACATGTACCAGGCCCACATGTCATTTGGCTGCGGTGCTTGAATTTACCGAGTGTCGTACATCTATGCACTCGGTAAACAGAAGCATTCAACACTTAGTCATTTCTCCCTCAAATCGTGCACAGACACACACACACACGCGTGACACGCCTGGTGCATCCCGCCGCACCGCCGCCGCCGTCTCGCCGCGGCGCCTCCTGCCCCTCCCCAGACTTTGCGCCGCGCCTCGCGGCCGCGCTCACGCCGACCTTGGCGCCTCGCCGTCGCTTGGCGCCTCCCCCCCCGCTGCCGCCCTCCTCCTCCACGCCATCGCCAGCCGCCTCGCCGCCGCCGCGCCCCCCGCCGCTGCCGCCGCCTCCTCCACGCCATCGCCATGGCGCCTCCCCGCCGCTGTGGCGCCTCCCCACCGCCATGGCCGCCCTCCCCTCCACCACCGCCGCCACCAGGCGGTCCCCACACCGCCGCCACCGAGGGAGGCGGTCACCCGCCGCCACCAGCTGGGACTGACGCCGCCGCTTGTGCCGCCTCCTCCCTCCACCACCGCCGCCACACAGGGCGTCCTCCACCGCCGTCGCCACGGTAAATAAGCTCAGACTTGGTCTTCAGTTCTTCCTCCATTGTCGTAATCTCCTGTGCAGTGCAAAACCAAACATGTCAACAAGATGAGAGATATTGGGTGGGTAGGTATCCTAATTAAGACCGGCAACTATGCACATGTGATTCTCTCAGTCTCAACTACTACCAAGTCATTTTTACAGAAACTGATTGCATGAAAATTTCATGTGCACAGGTGTATGAATGTACTTGAAAACTCCATTGGGAACATTGTTTTCTAGAAGTGAGGATTCAGCCAGGCTATCAGTTCTTTCAATAATAAACACTTTAATTTCGAGTTAAAAGACATCCTATTCAGTACACAAGTTAATCAGAAAATAACAAAAATATTCCAATTTCCACTACATTCAGTGTCAAATTTTGCTGGGTTACATAGTTATCTTTATGTAACAAAAAGAGGTGATGCGAGAATAGGATCAAGGAGCCTTTGTAATGAAGTTTATACTGAATGTAACAAACTGCCTGTAGCAAGTAGCAATAGGTGAAATTTAGAGTGAGCTTTCCTAAGGATAGCGCCAACCACAAAAGATTATTTGGGCTCATCGAAACATGTGAAAAGTGAATACTCCTACCAATGAAAACTTGTAGTAATTCTCCGTAACCAGTCCCCACTTCAATTTAACCACCCTCCTTAATGCACTCTTATAACTATATAAGAAGATGAAGTGAAATATACCTTCCGAAGCATCTCTTCTGGAGTTGGCTGATCCTCACGCTGCAGGCTGATGAAATAAGACTGGAGCTTCTTGGCAGCTTCCATATAGTCACTATATTGCAGATAATAAATATTGACTAGAAAACATTACCACACTATGGCAGCCACTGCAACAACTAACCAAGACAAAAGGACAAATTTTACGATATTGTGCAGCATCTAACATATTTGCAAGACAAAGCCAAGTCTTGAATTTAGTTTACCATTGATCGAGTAATGATTGATAATACAACAGTTCATAATAATGTCAAATTAAATATGCCAACATATTTCCATGTTGTTTTGTATTGTATCAATGCATGATAAAAAAAATCCAGAATTTCTACAAAAAAATAGATTTTTCTTCCATGACAAACCTCTGAATGGAGTTTTTCCATAGGCACCCATCCTTTAGGACCAGATAGGTCAGATATCAGAGCTGCAAGACACGTCGCTACAACCTTCTCTTCTTCTAGTAGGAGCTGTTGATTGTCTATTTCCTTCTCTGCACTTTGTAAGTAGGTTTATTTTGTCACAAAGATTGGTGTCTGCACTTCCTTTAGCTAATTTATTTATAGCTCCCTACAGTGACATCATTATCAAGAGTCAGCAATGCTATGACCTTGCAGTCACAGTCCAATAATAATTTTCTCCATTTGATTGATCTAATATTTGAACTGTTTTGATCTGATGTCACTAGGCATGCACTACTCTGTTCTTAGATTTGAGTAATGCTGTCTGATTATTGTTCTGCTCAGGTAGCTCTCGATTGCAATACTGCCATTGTTTAGCCATGTTTGAATTAGACCCGTGCGAAAAATATTCACTTTTGTTCTCTGGACATGGCCACTTTATTTCTGAAAAATTCCTCTTGTTGAAATGCCTGCAGGACGGGGGCTTCTAAGAAGCACGAGCTCAAATCTAAGCAAAAATTGGAAAAGAAGCTCAGGTTTTACTCAAGTAGGTGTGACCTTATCTTAAGTCAGACGATTTTTTTCTATGAGATCTTGATTCATAGATTCCCTCATGTTGTCCTGTCATCCATCTTTCACTGCCTGTTGAATTAGATGTATGTACAAGCCAGACATATATAGGTAGTATGGTGTTGAGGGTTAAAAGTTTGATTGTATGGAAGAACTGGCTGAAGTGCTGGCCTT